CACAAAATCTGGCATGGAATGAGAAAAATAACAAAAAGCTCATATCTATATTAGAATTAAATGTTCAGAAACTATACATTTACATGTTCAAAAGAGGTATTGTGGCAATTTATTTGAAACTAACCACCAGCCTATCAACCATATAGGCTTGCAAAACTCTTAGTAAAACAACTTTTTTTGTTTTGTTTTTAATTAAAGATTGATGTGATGTAAAGGTACATTGACCTCCACAAGCAAATGTTAAGACAATGTATCAAAAGTCTACTGGAGTACCAAGAAGTATTAGTAATAACTATTCTGGGCAGATGTGTTTTATATTTATTGTGAAGGCTTATTATGAATTATTAAGTTTTGAGTGCACAGGCTGAGTGAATGCACATTACTGAATGCCCATTAGTAAGCACTGTGAGTGCACTCTCTGTGTGCGCCTTATTAACAATGAGTGCATTTTGTTGTGTATGTTGTAAAATTAATCACTATAACTATGGGACATGAGTGGTTACCGGTTTTACAAGAAATATGTCGATGATGTGTCCCTGAATGTTTAATAAGACGGCTGCACTTGCTCTTCGCTACGGCAGGCGAAGGAGAGAAATCTTCACGGGAGAGGGCGGCAGCCCTGCGCGAGGGCAGAGAAGGAGCACAGGTAGCAGTGCACAGGATGTTCGGCATCTTTTGCATGCTCCGAATTTGCTGGGACAACCCCTGCTCCTTCAGAGGTATAAGCTGGGACGCAGTGGCCAATGAGAAGACATGCCCTGTTTGCTCCTTGGGCAGTAATGCCTGGGGACAGCCCTTGCTACAAGCTCAGCTGCTTGGGGCAGTACTCCTTTCCCATTTATGAAAGAATAGAAAGGCCAGAGATGAAAGAGGAAAGTAAATGACTAACTGAGACTTGCTCCTTTCTCCTGGAAATGGGATTGACCTGCTTGTCCTCTTTGTAGTACAGCTGAGACTATATAAAAAGAAAAGTGAGGACTGCAAAAAGACAGAGCTGCTTTTTTTTTTTTTTCTTTCCAGGTACAGCCAGTTCTACCTCCATTCAGCAAAATTCTGTCCCACATAGAGCAATCTCTGGAGATACTTGTTCATTATGCTTGCTCATTAAATACTCTTTTACAACCTTTTCTTACAGTAGGTAGGCATATGAACTGACCTATGGACCACGTCCACATGTAAAGAGTGCCCATGCATATATTTTGTAGTACTGAAATGTTTAAGTTTTTTTTAGTAATGGGAGTATTCTTTAGGTCTATGTGTTTACATAAATTGTTCATGGGAAAGATTATAAAAGACAATTCAGTAAAAATATCTGAAGGAAGATGGGGCAAAAGAAGGAATTTCTGCTCTAACACTGGGAAAGGCTAATTCCATGCCAGGATCAAATGTGAAGTTTTCTATGAAAGGGAGTGAGTGGGAAGCAGAATGAAATTTGCTTTTAGAAAAAGACCTGGCATTTTCTGAAGAAATTTGTCAAACCTTCCCACAGTATCTCTTGCTGCAGCTGCTTGTTTCTTGGGGCCCAGAAGCCTTGACAACCTTGGCTGATCCTGGACAGAAACCTCGAAGTCCCCCATCAAGCCCATGGGGCCACAGTTCATCACATTTTCCTGTTGCATCTTTTCCATCAGAGACAGAAAAATCAACACACTTCTGCCAAATACCCTGAGTTTTTCAAATCTGCCCTTCCTAACAGCTAAGAGTTCCAGTGGGAAATATCCCATCATCTCTAGTGATGAGATCATACTCGTTTTGTGACTTTCCGAGAGTCAATGAATTTGGTGAAACAGGTTGGAAATTACCTGTGAAGGAGGGTAATGAGCTAACCATCTTTCGATATGGACAGCATACCATCCGGGTGTCAGGCATCTCTTCTGGAGAGTCCTTATCTCTGAGGGTGCCCAATGGCTGGACGTAATGACTTCATAAAAATTGAATTTCAGGGCAGCAGGGTCCTCATGTGATCGCTGATGCTAGAGGGAGATATTTAGACATATATCATAAGGATGATGAAGATTAAGCCGCAACATCCCAAGAGCTGTCAGGAGGGCTGTGCTGGCACAGCCAGCCTGGCTGCAGCCCAGAGCAGCCCCTTGGCTCCCCACCAGTGCCACTTCTGCTGGTTAGGAGCCTGGGGGGCAAGAAAACAGGATGGCGCCAGCATTCAGTCAAGAATGTCCTCCTGGGACAGGTGGGAGGGGAGCTGAGGAGCCAAATTCTGCCAAAGTAGGCACAATATTTTTAACTGCTTTGCATCTTGCTTTGGTAGTTGTAAAGGTGCAAATGAGATATTAAACAGGGTGCGAACAGCCCTAGGCTATGTTTTATTCCTTGCAGAACTCATAAGAACGGTATCAGAAGTGGTGCATTTTATGCTTATTGCAACATTATTAATTTGTGTCTGTTTCACACTGCTTTTAGAATTTCCTTTATCTGTATGGCTACATGGTATTTTACATGCATGCTTAAATGTCTCTTGAAAAATCGTTTTTAAGTAGTGCAGGCTTTGTTATGGAAAGCTGTGGGCTCAGTAAAAAGCAAGAAAAAGCATCCTAGAACTTCCTTGGAAAAACAACAGGCTTTCTTTTGTTTCCACGGAGAGAAAGAAACCCCAGCTCTCCAGACATAGCACTTTTTAGCTCCTTGGAAACTTTAGAAAACACTGCATACATTTGTACACCACCGCATATTGCTTAGTTTACACACTGGAGGATGGCATGAGATACCAGATTCTCAACATCAAGAGCTCTGATTTTCTAGCTAGGCAATGCTTGTTTTCCCCGGTGTATTTCACTAGGCGAGGAGAACTGCTTTTCCTCTATGCAGTGTCAGCTGTAATTGAGATTAAACTGTTTGTTTACAGCTGGTGGCAGCTTGGTGCTGAGAATTTTCATCATTTATGACACTGGTGTCACAGGTGCCAACCGGGAAAGCTGGCATGCAGCATCCTTCCTCTTCTACACAGTGCAAATGCTTTGCAATAAATCCCACTCTTTCTCAAGGACTCAAATTCCCACTGATGTTGGCCATCATCTCCTGTCATTGATTTCACTGTCCATTTCTCAAAAGCAAGGTTCATACCTGGTACCAGGAATACGCCCGATCAGATGGGTCAATGAGGATGGTGATGATCTTGGCCTTGGGGATGAGGGAAGCAGCTCGCTTAGGAGCTTCCTCAGAATGGAAATAGTTGGCACTTTTCTCAAAGAGGAGGTCGGTGGTGATGTTGGAAGGAGCGGGGAAGAAATCCATGTACCTGGGAGGTGAGGAGGCTTGTTAGAATGAGCAGTATCACAAAAGGGTCATATCCCTGTGCTTCCCATTTTATGGTAGGTGAAAAGGTGAATTTTCAGACATAATTCTCAAGAAGCAAAATTGAGTTTCTCAGCTCACCCCAGAACTGGAATAGGGGGAAAACATCTTGGCTCTTACATGGTGCTGGTAATAGCTAAAGCCTCCATGAAGTCAGGTAATTAGGTTTTTCTTTTGATGGATAAAATTTTTGCTAATAAGTTCAATGTCAAAGAGGTATCTTTCACCAGTTTGGAGTGAGTTCAGTTTTAGCTGAAGAAAAAATGGAAAAAGGTTCAAAATCTCAACCATTTAATTTTTATGTTGTTGAAATATTTAATTTTGGAACCGACAAATCTTTTCTTTAAGGTGTTTTCAGAATGCAAGATTTGAATTTTAGCTTTGAATGGTCTTTTCCACTTGAAATCGATTGAAAGTAAGTAAAACAGGAGGTTCAAATGAAAGGGTGAAGAATTCAAGGGAAGCAAAAATTGAAATTGTTTTGAAGGCATTTGTTGGTCCCTTTAGTTTTGCTGAGCACTCCATGAACTTCCAGTTTTGGGGTGACTGACTGTTTCTTGTGTCCTTTCTATGAAAATGAAGTACGCAGGGCCTCACCCTGCACATAGGACCCTACTGACTTTTGAACCTGCAGGCCAGTTTCGGTGAAGCGTGGCAGAAGAGGTCTCCGAGAGGCCAGCCTCTTCTTCTACATTTTCTGCAAAGGGCTGCTGGGGAGACAACCCCCGCCCATCACCGCTCCGAGTGTATTCCACCATGTACTCTATGATAGCCGTGGGTGATATCTTTCTTTATGCAGTACGGAAAAACAAGCACCTAGCATTTTTTTCCCTTTATTTTTTGTCACGCCTTGAACTGAGAAGCTGGTCTCACAGTTGCAGGGACAGCCTGCTTTTATCAGCCAGCCTCGTTTGCTCCTCATGCTCTCCATGCTGTAAGTGGGCAAGGAAAACCGCTCAAGATTAACCTGTTTCCGTGTAGTGTGATGCTGGTCTTACATTTCAGTTTTCACACAAGGATGAGAACTGATCTTCCCTGTGAAAGTGAAAGCCTTACAAAAATGCTTTTCTTAAGCAAGAATAGTAAAAGCAATATTTAAAATTGTGATAGGAATACCAGCTGAAATGCTTAACAGTGTTTTTTTTTTCTCATGAAGAGATGAACCGAATCTTACTTCATGAAAAGCAGCTTTTGAAGAAAAAGAGTATAATTCAGTATAGATACAGTTATGAAAAGACAGAGCTGCTATTCAGCATGAAGACAGACATCATAACTGAGCTGGCTATTGAATTCCTTGGTGAAAAAAATAAGAAAATTGTTACTGTAATATCTAAACAAAATTAAGGACTTGATTAAATGTCCCGTCATTACAAATTAGTTTTACTTTCTGTCTGATAATGCCAAGCATAACAAATTCATCCAGTAATTATGTCAATGTCATACATGCTGCTGTAATTGTTCCATTGTGATTTACCATGTATTAATAATGAACACTTCTTTTTTGTTGTTCTTCTTACCAGTCAATTCCCTTGTGATAGTTGTTTCCATTGAAGAACTGAACTTCTTCGAAAGTTTTTGGACTAGGGAGATTACTGATAATGGAAGGGTGCATCAGAAGAAATAAATAAAGCGCTGTTGTTCCTACGACAACAAAAAGAGATGCCATTAAGAAACAGAAAAAAAACCCTCTTTGACTTTATTCGTTCAAGAAAGTATTTTAAATCAATGCACAATAAGATATACAGGAAAATTAGATTACCTTTTATAAGAAAGTTGCCTATTGATGAAAGGCCTAAATAAGTACAAGGGCCTTGCAGAGGGAGGGGGGAATATGTGCAGACTTCTCTGCTCATTGAACTTTTCCTGTTCCCAAACTGTGAATTCTGCTTTCTGATGCAAGCATGATATTGCAGTTGATGACATTGCTCGCCCGACTCTGTGTTTAACCAGTGAGGAAATTGGGCCTGAACAGTTCTGTTTTCAAAGTATTTATGTTACACAAAACTTTTCAAAAGCACTAACTGTGGGATTATTCTTTTGTTGCTCTCAGAACTGCACTTTTGTCCTCTATGTATTTTTCCTGAGGGTCTGGTATTGAGGAATAAATTGTTTATTTCAATGCTAACAAACCTGTATGCACAATCAGTATGATTTAAAATCCCAGTCACAGTACTTTTTTGTTATTTGTTTGACAAAAACCACTGGAAAAGATATATGATGGTAAACGAAATTTTGGAGAATATGTCTCTAAACTTGCTTTTCAATGATTTCATGCTATGCAAGCTATCATTGGACTATGAATCAAGACCTGTTGTCTCTTTGTCACTGTCACAGAATTTCTGTACAATCTCGGATTAGTCATTTATTTCCCTGCCTCTACATCCGCTTTCTGTAAAATGTCCACACAGTAATAGCTATCTTGGGAGTGGGAATATGTGGCTTAATTCAAACAATGCCCTGAGACCCTCAGAGGCCTGCAAGGTGGTAAATATCTTTATTGTCAATTAGGGTCTCAAACGATGTTGAAATCATTTATCAAAGCACTTAATAATAATCTTGACATTGAGCAGCCTGAGAGCATGGAGGTTTTTATGATGAATGAATGCAATTTTACTATGCAAACAGTTGTGCCTTTCTGTTGGCAGTGTAAAAGTTACTATCTGAATCCCACAGGGGTCGGTGATACCCCATCTCAGTAGCAGGCAGCTGGCTTCAGTTTACAGGACACAAATACACAGATACAAAACTGGAGGGCTAGTTTCAGTTACAAATTCATTACTTCTTACCTGTTTTTTGGGGTCCTATCACAAGAAATTTGGGTAGGTGGTCACAAGTTTTGTCTCTGGACCAAATATCCCTGTGTCGTTTATCGTCACACGGATTCTGAAGAAGAAAAGACGATTGCATACATCATGCTGAGGGTACCCTAAATGTTTGCATGCACGTGACTCTTTGCAGGATCTAGATGTTATGCACAAATGCCAGAGCTTTACACTAGGTAGTAAAATCCCACATTTCCTCATAGAAGTTTACTCTTCACAGATATAGAGCACTCTGGTACAGAGCCATGGAAGCATTCAGGTACACAGAGACCAAACTCCTAGGTATCCTCCAGGACCAATCCTTCCAGGGGTCCCAATGAAGTCAGTAATGCTACACAGATGTGCAAATCCTGGAAGGATTGGTATAAAAATCCACACCCTGTAAGACTACTGAATTTCCTTCTCTCCATTAGTCAGGCTCATTTCATAAACTCCAGAACCCTTAGGCACGTAGGTAGGCATGAATGTAGTCCCTGTGACTAAAATTCAATGTCTATATAATGGCTTTGCATGACTGAGAATTAAGTTCAGTCATTAGAAAAAAAAGAAAAGAAAAAGAAGAAAAAATAGATTAAAACATTGATTTAATCAAGTTTTCATTTGAGGTTAAAAGGGAAACTTCTGTTTGAATAGCTTCAAGGAATTACTTTCTTAGGTGACAAAGTGGTTTCAGATGCATAGGACTTGGTGCCAATTTTAATTTACATAAGAACCCAAAAGGAAGGACAAAATAGAAATGTGGGATATTATTCATGTCCTTATCTTTCTACTACCTATGAATGCAAAATAAAACCGTATGAACAAAAAACCCCACAGAAAAGGTTAGCATTGACTGCTCTTTAAAGAAGTTATCATATAGATACTGCTTTTTCACAGTATTGGCTGGTAATAGAAGATATAATTTGCTCGTTAACAAAATAAAATAGAGAAAATCATTAACTTATGTGAATTGCTGCAGCTCCACTAAACTCAAAAAATATTACAGATTTATACTTCTTTTGCATCTGGGCCAAAAATAATAGGAAATTTTCTGCTTCTTTTTGTCAGTGTGGGCCTGAAATAACTGCACAGATCTCCATGGTGTCACTCTGGATTTATGCCTGCATAGCTAAAAGCACAACGTGCACATCATATTCTGAATAAGAGCAAAACCAGATATGTATAACAATGATTAGGAAATTACAGTGTTGAGATTACAAGCAGCACTATTGTGCATTTGAAACAGAGATAGAAAATAGTCAGTCTGTGCAGGAACACTCTTCCATTCTTAAAATAGCTCTCTAGTCTGTGTTTGCTGTGCTGACCCCTCCTGCCCTCCCATTTCCTTGCTGTTTCATTGAAGGGGCTTCAGATGGTGGGAACTCCTCCTTGTAGCTGCAGTGCTCCAACATTCGTGATTCCCCGTGAAGGGGTGCGAAGAATCTACATCGTTTGCCTTGAGATAGCTCTCGCTACCGGCTAGCTGCGGGGGTCTTACCAATAGTGCAACACCATTAGTTAACACAGCACGATGCATTGGCAAAACTACAGACAGGAGGGATGGGAAGGGAAGCGTTCTCTCACATAAATAGCAATTAGTTGGTTTTAGCATGCCTGATTTGGGGTGAGTGAAAGCTAATCCATTTCTAATCAAAAGCAGTGGTCTCTCAAGAAAATATAAATCATCTAAGAAGGTGTGCGGGAAGAAATAACATATCTGAACATGAAGAATGTGAAGCCGGATTTTTTTATTTACAGGAAAAGATTCTTCTTTCAACAGGCAGACTGGAGAAGGAAGGGGATGTGACAATACCTGCCAAAGAGGGTCTGTCTGCTCCGGGAAGAGCTCAAAGTACTTCTCAGCCAGCTGAACAGGGGGCAGCGTCTGCAGTTTCAGGTTAGTCGAGCTCTTAACAAAGTTGGCCAGGTTCGCAAAGGTGTATAAGCCCAGGCGGTCGTTCCCGTAATTAGACAAATGGGTCATGAAGATGCTGATCTGGGAGGCAAAAGAAACCTGTCAGTCCCAGGACATCAGGAGATGGCAGCATCTGGCTGGAAGGGCGGGCATGGGGACTCCCAGGAGCTTTGCCAAACTCTCTGTCCCCCACCCAAAACCGAAAGAAGGTGATGAAAATGTTAAACTAGTCGCACGTCCTAGACCTTCTGTGAGGGTCAAATCTCCAAACTTGTCACCAATGCGCCATTTCTTTAAAATCCCCCTTCTTATCGGAAGGGATGTATCACTCACGGGCTCCCCAGGGACTGGTATTCAGGAGATGCTTTCAGCGATTTTTTTTTTATTCTTCTGTTTTGACTTACAAACAACGTAGAAATTTTTTCTCGCATACCTCCTGTTCACTGTTCCTCATCCCTGGGCAGGTGCCTGCAAGGCACTGGCATACATGAGCCCTCGGTTAGGAATCCCCAGCGCCATGGCACCTCCTCGGATATGTTGTAGGTAAAGCTTAATTTTAGGCATGCTATTTTGGAATTAAGTCAAAAATCTTACTAACACGCTGTCTCCTCCAAATACAGAGTTGGCTAGTTTTTTAAAAATGGCATGGCCTGAAGTAGGTTAATAAGTTCTGAAATGTAAAAATTTCAAACCTGTGTGAATGATGATATCTCTGCTAATTATCACTGTCATTGTTTTCTCCTTAAAGCCAGTAGAACTTCTGCCTTTTTATCAGCCTTACTATGGTTCTCCTTTACATGGCCACTGTTTTGTAGATCTCATAATTTCTTTCAGAGGGATAAACAGAATTTATAAGAATAATGTGAAGAATATATTTCCCAGTATTTTCTTTACATGAGGGGAATAAACTCAGTTTCATGACTGCAAAGGCCTGGTTTATCTGTAGATTGTCATTATTTATTTTTATGAAGATTTTGTCAAACTGATTGTTGGTACTTGACTGTTTTACTCAGTACATCAGCCTAACATAGGATGTACGATCACTGTGGAATTTAATTACACTCTGATCAAGAAATAGCGTACTAGTGGTAACTGAACAGTGTATATTTTTCTTCTTTTTCAGCATGATCTCTGAAGCTGACAATCAATAACATGCGACAGACGGCAACAGGTACAAATTCACTAATGTGACCACAGCAATTAAACAGAAGAGCATGTCAGTCAGTGCACTTCTTAATAATGATATCATGCTTCAAGGAGGCCTAGATGCGAAGCAAAAAACTAGAGGTATAAAGCTGGTTACAGTATAATCCAGAATATGGTGGTGGGAAGTTGAGCAGTTTGCTGTCCTGCCATAATGCAAGAAATTTCTGGAAAAGGAAAATAAAGTACCGACTTTGTGAAGACCACAGGCGGGAATCCGTTCACCTTCAGGTTGGACTGGGTTCAGAAGATGGAAATAGGCTCAGCACTCTCTCTCCTAGCCTTTTTTCTCCTAGTCTGATTTCAGGTAGGTAGCTGGTTTGTAAAGCCTCAGGAGGGCTTGGTGCCTGGAGACTGGCACAAGCAACAGCCAGTCTGCTCAGCCACTTGCATTACCTGCATTACCCAGCTTGGGTGCAGGTCTGCAGGCAGGGGTGGGGGTATAAGCAATGCATATTTTGGAGTCTGAAGAAGAGGTTAGTCACCAGCAGTGAGGACAACCAAATCACAAGAAAATTGCTTGCTTTGCAGATGGATATCTATGTCCAGGTCAGTCTCTTTTTGGATGATTAGGAATGGGAACTGACAACACAGCTGGGGGCTGGGTGTGAGCTTATGAAGTGGTGTGCAGGAAACGGGGGGGAGAGACTTGAAGGAGGCAGGAGAGAGGAGAGTGTGGGTACCTTCCTCCTTTGAGAGTTGCAGCAGGATATCTGGGTCTCCAGCACCCTGGGTGTGTGCTCAGGTCAGTGAGTTTTGTGGCTTTTTTTTCCTTCTCTGTGTCTCAAGGGAAGCTGGATGTAGTTTGAGTGACGCCTTGCACAACCCAGGCACAGGGGACAATGTTTAGGCTGCAGTGCTTTGAAAACTGAAGTGTATGTTAGATGTCCTGGAGATGTCAAGGTGTGTGCTCTCCTTGCTGGGGGTAGGCTATGGCTGGGGAACCAGGTGGGCTGTCCTTGCACCCTAGTCCTTGAGTTAGAGCCCTGGCTCCCCAGCAGCTAAACTGGTGGGAAGTACTGAGTCTCAAAACTTGGGACCCTCATGTCTAAATTGCTGCCAAATGCCCAGGTGTTTCTCAGGAAGGTTGCTACTGCTGATCTGTGTGGCTTTGTCCTGCAGACTGTGAAAAGCTTTCCAAAACAAACTGCTGCTACCACCTGAAGGTGAAGTTTGCCTTTCAGTACATTGCCGCTTTATGGTCACAGGCTTGAGCTTTAGCAGAAGAAAGTGGTGCGGACAAAAATACTGTGTCTGTAGCACACCGTGCTGTCCTGACTTTGAAAATAACCACAGAAGAAAAAGCTATAAGCTTTCCACTTTCTCTGTCTTGCTCTGCCAATGTGGTGCTTCTTTAAGCCCTGGCCCACAATGTTTAAAAACATGTCCATTAGTTTGTTAAATTATTGATAAGGCTTTTACTACTTCTGCAAGGTGAAGATGGATGGAGCTTAGGAGAAAGTGTCCCTTATGGCCTGTTTGCACTGTGCCCTCTTTATTCCACAAAAGGTAATTTATTCTTCACTTTTATTCTGTTCTGAGCCTCAGTTAAGCAAAGATTGGCAACTGTGCAAGACCTTCTTTCTGTTGGCCTGACTGTAGATTCCAGTGCCTATGCATTTTATGACTGAAAGTGTTTGACATAACTGGAGTGAACACTAAAATTGCCCTGAACTTGGTGTATGTCCATATGCAGTACCCCAGAAACTTAGAAGCTAGATAATGAATGTTCTGCTTTGGGTTTCCAGTGTACTACCTTCTCCCTCACCCTCCCCAAAAATCCCCCCAACACAAACACATCCTTTCTAGTTTAGAGTTCAGCTTCTCAAAGTGTGACAAGTGCTTCCTGCAAACTATTTTAAAATGATGAAAAGGAAAACACTTACAGGAAATGTTGACAGAGAATATCATTTTGTCTCTGAAGTGTTTTTTGATAAGTGCTAAAGGGTCTGTCAAGGACATTTAATATTGTTGCAGCAATTTAATATTATTGCAGCAAATGCAAGTAAATCTACTTTCTCTTTTTGAATGACATCTTTTTAATGTAAAAAATTACTCATAGAAGACGGATATTAGGTTATATTAAGAGTTTCATTAGGCTCCAGCCCAATCCAAAAGATTCAAATGATCACTCTTTATGGAGTTAAAAGATCCTGGACATCTCTTGACCTTTTTTGTTCTGTTGATCTTTTTTGAAGTGAAAAAACCCCAAATATGATGCATTATACATGGGATAAACCAGTATCTGATTCTTTGCTGTCTGTCTCCTAATCAGTTGAGACAAAAGGAGATGGCTATTAACAGTTCATGTTTATAGCATGGATAGATGCAAAAGTCTGTTTTCATGCTGATGCATTAAACCATAGAAAATGCAATAGTCTAGCAATGTGCTGAGCTAGCGTAACACTGTGCATGCCTTGAGGCTGGTGCTGGGATACACAGCTGCTGCACTGCTTTGCTGTGCTCTTTTGGTGGACCCAAAAAGCCTTCAGAACCAGCCTTGAGGGCAAGAGTGAGGAAACCAGTGAAAACCGAGGACTGTCCCCTCCCACAGGGCTCTGAGCAAAATTGGTGAATAAAAGAGAGCGTGCCTTGTCTCCATAATTTCTATGACGAAAAGTAAGCTGTAGCTCACAGCCTGACACTCACCAGCAGGCAGCACTTCATCAAGTTAGGGATAATGCTTTTAGGAGGGAGGCAGGACGCTGCTCTGCGCAATGGTGCGGCACAAAGGCAATAAATTATTTCAAATTCCTGAGGCTGGGGAAAGGGCTCTGGCTGCGTTGCATTACTCTTAAGGTTAAAGTAGCATAAGCAATGTGTGTTACACAAATGTGCAAAGAGGCACTGAGTGAAATCCCTTGCTGTCTCTACACAATCTATAGCCAACACGTTGTGGGAAACAAGGTCAGTTGTGTGTTACTTTGGTGCTGGTCTTGTTCCCCTGTTCGTGCCACAACACAGACGCTTTGCAGGACAGTAGCGTTCAAATGATGCTGCAGTTTGTCCTGATGCAGGATTTTATTATCTTTGGCAATTTATCATTCTTTCTGTCCTTGTCACTGTGATTGCTCGTATTTTGAGAGGCACAGCAGGGAAAGAATGCTGAAGGTGTAGGTAGGAAAACTTTCTTTTTGCATTCTTCTGTCTTTCTGCCATCCACCCTCTGATACATATCTCAGTCACTGCCTCCCTCTTGTACCCTGTAATAAGTTTTTCTCAAAATCACTTTCCCTTTTCTGCAGCCAGGGTGCTTTTTGTTACAGAAACGTTGTTTTTAATTATTTTGCTAAACCCACATTTCTTTGTATGAAATGTCTACAGATTTTAGCTATGGCTTTCAAAGACTTGCACAAAAAAGAGAATTCTGAGATTTATGTTTTCTGGTGACAAAACTGAGGCGCAGAGTGATGGTGTGATTTGTAAAGAATTAATCTCCCACAGGGAAGCCTGCTGCTGGACTGATCTACCCTCCCTAGGGTGGCCCACACAGCTTTTCCAGGAGCATGTTATTTATACCCATATTAAATGGGAATGAATGGAGAGCTGTGGCCCACAGACTGTGGAAATTCTGATTTTACTACTGTAATGGGCTTTTTTCTCTTGGTTTCTGTTGCTTGCTCTGTATTAACATTTCAGAGATGTCCACAATGGTCTGCAATTTCTCTGTTCAAAAGAAAGATGTCGGAGGAGAACAGTGGTCCTAAATTTCTCACACCACCTGTGCAGTTAATATGCTATTCTGGTGAATACATCATATTATTTCCGTTACGCTGGGTGGGCAGGGGGAAAGAAAGAGTATTTTACACTTCCTCCAGCTGGCAGAATCCAACAGAAGCTATACCCTGCATCTGTCTATTTACCAGCTTCTCTGCTCC